TTCAATTTCTCGAATCCTTCACACCTTCCTATCATCTAAGTCTCCAGACATCACAATTCGCGGCTAACCAGGCGTGCCGTTCGCGATAATATTCGTCCTTTCCGTTGTTAAAGCCGATTGATAAAGGATTACATGCTAAAAGCTCCAATTAGCGAAATTATGGCGGACTTTCTTCTGGTAATGGATACCATCTTGGCGAGTGAGCGAGTGAGTGAGTGAAAGAGTGAGTCCGTACAGGTGCGAGCCATGACGAAACGTCTCATACCTGCATAAACGCTTCGAGGAAGCCGCGAGTGTCGTGCTGATAGCGGAGCACAACTTCCGTACCGCGAAGCCGGCTGGAAGATAGAACGTAGAGTACGTCAAGGCGAAGGCCCTCGACCACATTAAGAAGACAGAGAGGTTTATCCAAGTAGCTGAGCCACATCCTGGTACTAGAGGCTACACTTATGGCAGACCAACATGTTTTCGTCTTTCATACCCCCTTTTCTCACGTCTGAGAGGAAGAAATGGTCGACCTACCCGGCAGAATTGACCGACGATCCTCTTGTCGGTCAACGACAGGTTTAAATAGGTTACCCTTCACCTACAAGATAAGAATTAAGGTTTACTATATCTCAGCTCTATCCACTGAGGCGAATCTCGTTCCGAGCGGTGGGGAAGCACATCCCAGGGTTTTGCTGGCTTTCGACATCGTTTAGGTTTGTATAGCCGTATAAACTCCGAAAGATCCGATAGGAAGCGTCATTTGACTACGTACAACGCGCGAACATTGATAACAGTAGACAATTTGTGGACCCACTGAACCACTGAATTATATCTTAAGCATATTGCGGGACAATAGTTAATGTGTCGAAGTGCTGTATATTTTTGTGTAAAATATGCAGAATTGACATCATGAAATGCTGTTTTCCCTCAATAAATTAAAAACAAAGTTATTTTGGGTATGGTGTGTGGGTGCCACGCGATTGAAGCTTTGGCGAGTTATGACCCACCTCTACTAGAAAGGAGAAGCACTTTTAGCGCTGACAAGAAGAAGCTGCAGTAGCATTAATTCGGAACGCGGGATTGTCTTATATTTTTCGTAACAAATTGGCTATATGACTTTGATAGGCTTTTTGCGATAGCAATAGTCAGTAAAGACAGGCGACCGAGGCAAGCAGAAATACCATTTCTTGACGGTATAAAAATTGGACTATCCTCGGCCCGATTTATCCTTACTGCTAAATCAGCACTACCGTGTGACGCGTCCATTGTGCGGTGGAGTGAGATTCGCGGTCTGTGGTATTAAGGATTGTTTATTCATGAACGGATTGACAAATTTTGTCGTAGGAGCTATGAGTCTCTTCTCATTGCCACCGGGATAAGCTCTAATTTTTTCAAGAAGAATCTCGCAAAGGGTTGCATAGTGAACTCATGGAAAAGGTACCAAGTGTACCTTTTTTGTACCGACTTCTTGTCGGGTGTAACCACATCGCTGTGGGAGAGAAGCAAGGCTCACTTCCTGTCACTAAGAAAGCCATCAAAAGCTTAAGTGATACAGTAAAACCGCATTTCCAAGAATTGTACGGGTGCCTTTTCACTAATGAAGGAATATGACATCGTGGTGACGTGTGACCCACCTCAACGTGCGTTATGAAATTAAATAAAGGATCACAGAACAGTGGGCACTTTATAAGTAAACAATGTGACATCATAAACGCTTGCTTTCGAGAAGCATAGAGCAGGTGTAGGTAAAACGAATGTATCTCTTCGCTCGAGACTGACGATTTTACGGCGAGCGGCAGATCATGCATGCTTCCTAAAATTAAGCTCGACACCACTACCATTCCGCTGCAAAACTAATCTAGATAGGATGTGCTGAAAAGCAGCTTCATTGACTGCGCCTATTTCATGATCTTAGTTTATGCCTGGTTCAGGGATAATATTATCTGCTCATGAGAGACAACGACATCCTTTTTACGCGGCGAGAATTCCATGCGGGATCCTCAAAGTGCGCCCCAGGAGCAGTCTCTCGTACCGACAACAAGTTTAATAAATCTGATGAATCGCCTTTTTAGATCACATCGTGCGTATGCACGTAGGTAGCTGTCCCCAAAATAGATACCTGCATTGTCGTGCAGAGCACAGGTAGTCGAAAGTGAGCGTAGCACTCATTAATCAACAATGCTTGAATAAAGAAACTATATACCAATAAGTATTAGGTGTTTTAGCCCTGAAGAAGATTCCTCTTCCGACGATTCATTGCACCATTTGAGCTGCGGGCAGATCCCGCAAAGGAGCCTTGTTGTGGTGGCTTGACCTTACCAACAATTTGCACATTTATAGTGCAAAGTATATCGACACGTTACACCTCCTCATTGAGCTCCCAGAAGAAGAGATGTCAAATGTCGCCATTGCCCGAAGCCGTGCTCTACTTTATCCTAAAGAAAAGGGACATTTGTGCCTATTGCATTCGTGCTCGCCAGCCTAAAGCGGAAAAATTTACCAAGCGTACGACATGCAATGAGGTATGCTCTTGTCAAAATCCGGACGCACATGCTTGGGTTTTAAGCTGCTCATGATCTATACAGATCCCTCGTCGCGCACAGGTGCGTCGACACCACGTCTCTCGCAGAATATGTTCGGAAAACTATCTGTCTTTGCCGAATATACATTAAGGTGAGCGACCTTAATGTGAAGTATGTGTTTTTGCGTCTCCTAGCCTGTGAATTATCACATATCACGAAGGAAACATCACACAACGACGATGCAATATCTCATACGAGTTCGACCCAATATGCGTTACTCGATAAAAATAATCAAAGAAGCAAGAATATACAAACCTGGCTGTCATTTATTCGTAGCATTTGATGACTTATACTGCAATTCCATGTCCTGCGGCTTGCAGTAAACAGAACAACAACGCTTTCGATAAAGAACAAGTGGTCGTAGAACCTCAAGTACAAATCGCCATATGAGGCCGATGGAACCCCCTTGAAATGCCACTTCGATATAAAAAGTTGCTAAGCGCTAGATATTGGTGTAAATAGGGAAACACTGGTGTGGGCAATTGCAAAACGTTACAACGGACAAAATCCCTGCCGCATGCATTCGTATTCGTGGCCAGCTCACTATTCCGTTAGATGGACTACGGTTTTGGCCTTCAAAAAAGTGCGTACTGTAATACTGATCTTTGTGGAACGTCATCTCGCAGTTGCCAGCGACACCGTTCGCTATCATCTGCGGTATACACACCCTGGGTCATGGTAGACGCCCTGCGTCTTGCAGATAACATACGGCTTCTCCGTCTCCGCTGTATAAAGGTTTTACGTCTCGTCGAGACCAGTGAAAACACGCACACAGCGTCGTCCAGTGTCCCCTCTCCTGCTCTTGATGTTGTTAATAACATTCGACGAAGAGCTGTTTTTTCGCAGCCTCCGTCCAGTGGATAACGTGCCACTCCACGCGCATCAGAGAGGCCTTGCCCAAGATGCCTTGGACCATGTCCGACCATGCCACTCTTAGCATGTAACAACTGCTTCGCAACGTGAGCAGTGCTCAGTGGGTTACGTGTCACTCCACGTTCAGCCCGCAAGCCATGCTCGGGACTCTTGTCCAAAGCGCCTTTGGTGCTCGACAACTTGGATACTACAATGTACATTGACCGTCCCGGTCTAGGACGGTCATTAGCAATTGAGATCTGCGGACGTTTTTTTGTTTACCAGAGTGTTGAG